CAGTGAACCCGCGGTGGCGTTTGAAGGCGTGAGACGCAGAGCACAGACGCTCTTGATTATGGAAGTCATTAATAATATAATAGCATTCAAACTGAAATGGTTAAAGCATTTTGGAATGACTAAAACAACATTTTAAATGTTTTATATTGTGCTCGGCCTGCTAGTTTATCTATTTCCACACATTTTTATCATCACATGATCTTTAGTAACAAAATAGCATGCCTTTTTGATGCTAAAGTGTTTCCATCATAGTTTATAGTCTTTTCTTATCGAATAAAAAGTTTATTCGACTTAGTTATGTGCATTTGTTTTTATGTTTGTTCAGACGACTCATGCCATCAAAAAAAGGCAACACCACAAACCTGTTTAATCATTTAAAACAATGGCACTCTTCCGAATATGAATGTGCTAAGAAATTACTGTCTACAGCAGGGGTCTCAAACTCAATTTACCTGGGGGCCGCAGGAGGCAAAGTCTGGGTGAGGCTGGGCCGCATAAGGGATTTCACAAAAAAAAGTCCTCATGTCATTATTAACAGTTTTAATTATTTCTTCTGAACATGAAGTGTCCTGAACATTAATAGAACATTGAGTGAAGATTATGAACAGTTCTTCTGAACATGGCATCTTTTGCCTACTTCTTGCTGCCAGAGACTTGACAGCGCTTCTTCTCACAAATCTGAACCACATTTGGCTTTAGAGCGGAAGCAGTTGAGACCCTCAGTATGGCTTGAAGATGATCATCATTAAGTCTAGACCTGTACTTTGACTTATTGAAGTCCTAGGGAAAAAAGTGGGGGAACTCACTCAAAACTTCCATTCCCTCACCTAAAAAAAGGCGTATATATGTATAAATAAAACACCCCCACCCCACTCAGTCACATCAGTCTGTACCAGTCTGTATCTACCTATATGCAGGGCAGGCACGTGCACACATAGGGCTCAACCTGTGCAGAGCACATGCCCTTTTTAGTCTTGCATAGAAAGTGCCCTTCCAAAATGATCAAAAGTGCCCCCGCGACGCGACACACCCTCGGTCCCGCCCTTCAGTAGGCGCGCGATAACACCGCTCTTGAGTACGCGCGCGACAACACAGCTGATCAGAACGCGCGCGACAATTGAGTGACAAGCGCGCTGTGTACGGATAGAATCAGCGGAGCAGGGAGTGCTCTTTCTCCCCGCTCCGCTGATTCTGTCAGAGTACAGCGGTCGGCGCGGGCCACAAAATATTGCACTGAGGGCCGCAAATGGCCCGCGGGCCGCGAGTTTGAGACCCCTGGTCTACAGTCTATCTACAAGCATCAGCACAAATTCCCAGCAGAATATACATATTCTACAATGTATATATATATATATATATATATATATATATATATATATATATATATATATATATATATATATATATATATATATATATATATATATATATATATATATATATATTAGGGCTGCCAAAATTAGCGCGTTAACACATGCGGTTAATTTAAAATATTAATATTGTTAAAAAAATTAAAAACGTAATTGAAGTTTTTTTTTTTATTTCCTGTTGTGGTCGACATGTGTTCAGGGCCGGCGTGTCCATAGAGGCGACCTAGGTGGCCGCCTTGGGTGGCAGATTAGTGAAGCCCCGGTCCTCATTTTCATCCGGGACACCCACCCCCTCCCTCCCGGTCCTTACTTTCATCCACGAACCGGTCGCTTTCTTTTTCACTTTCAGATTGAAGGCGGCGTGATCGCCGTTCATCTAAAGTGCCAGTTCAGTTTGCTCCGGCCCTGCGTGTGTTTAACGTGCAAAGAAATATGGATAAGACCAAGGAAGCGTTTTTAGAAGGAAAGTTTCAGCAAACAATTAATGTCGCATCACCAGGCTATCCAGCATTTCCTCGAGTTTCATGTAATTTTGGGTGTTTCATATTTAATCTTTAGACTTTAACTGCAGTTCTGCAGTTCACTTATTTTAGCAACACATTGTTCATGCCCGTGACATCTATTGGATGAAAATGTAAAGTAAGGACTGCTGGAAAAGTGTTGTTTTAATAGAATTTGATACCGCATGGCGAACGGATAGAAAAACCTCCACATTTCGTGACTTGGGTGGTCTTTTAAGGTAATCAAAAGTCACTGCTTACATGGTAGACTCTTAATCAGTATTATCTCAATCATAAAATCACAGTATTGGTGTCCATGTAAATGTACTCAGCGGAAGTGCCAGATGATGTTGCAAGCTGTCAAAGACAGCCCAACCCTCTGTCTTTGATTGAGTCGATGCACCGTCAAATGTTTCATTAAGTTTTACCTGTTTCCACCAACTTGCAACTTTTGTTAAGCATCTGCTGCACGTTGCTGTGTCAGAATCCATGCTTATGAAATACAGCCATACTTTAGAACGCTTAGTTTAAGCAAATTTGATTAACGTGATTGTGCGTGTTGATGAATCTGAAGTGAGTCACTTTCCAGGTGCACTGTACTGCGCACATTGTCTGATTATGTGTGTGTTTTGTGTGTGTGTGTTTTTGTTTGTGTGTGTGCGTTTCCTAGCAACAAGAGCAAACATCGCTGACATCGCTGACTGTCCAAAGTCTATAGTCTTTGCGGTGTCCATATCGCACAAAGTTGTTTAGAGTTAAATGTTTAGAGATGGCGTGACCAAAGTCTCTGTAAGAAGTCTATAGTCTTTGGTACGTGTCTTTGATGTACCCCTTGGCCACATTGTCCCCCAATAATGTCAATAGACTGGACTGTCTTAACAACTGGCTAAATGTTAAGGAGGACTAAGCAAAATTGTTTCTAAATTATAATCAATGTTTTCAACTCGCAATACAACTTTACAATGCGTACAATTGTTTGTATTCAATACTTTATTATTATTTTAATTTTCCATGTTCCATATTTGCAATGCCTGTATTTTCGATTTTTTTTGTAGTCCACTTAGAATTAGGGTTGGGTATCGTTTGGGTTTTTTTCGATACCGGTGCTAAATCGATACTTTTAAAATGATACCGGTGCCAAAACGGTGCCTGAACCGATAATTTTCAGCCACAAAATGATGGTGGATACCTCTCCAAAAATATTTTATTTGACAAAATATTTTTAAAAATCATTTTAATAGAACAATATAATTTTAAAAGTAAACAGTTTAAAGTAAACATCAATTCATATTGTAATACATTTCCTTTGATAATTTTTTGGTTAGCATGAATTTAAGATTTGCATTATGAAATTACATTAGCCTACTATTAACCTGTGGGGGGCAGGCAGGGGCCACATGCATTTAAGAGCACATTTTAACATTTATATCACAAAATACTTAAAACATTATTGAAAGTCATTTGTTTTCATGCATCACTCTGCAGTCTTCATAAACAAGATAGTAAATAACTTAAACTCAAAATAATCTTCCTTGTTCATTTATTTGACAAGTAACATTGTACTGTTGTAGGAGAACACATTTCTAACATTCAAGTACATCAAGGCACATTGTTGCACCTGTAAACTTTAACAGGCCTGCAGTTGAAGTCAAATTATTTTGCCCTCCCATTCATTTAAAATAATGTTTCTGAAAATTTTTACTGTGTTTCCTAAAAAATAATTATTCTGGTCTACTCTAGTCATAATAAGTCCTATTTCGTATGGTTTATTTCGTGAATAAAAGCCGTTTTTAATTTAAATAAATAAGGTCAGTATTATTATCCTCCTTAAGAAATAATAACTGTATATTTTTGATTTACTCAACAAATCAGTTACAAAATCATTTGACTAATTATTTTAAATTTCGTAGTTAACTGATTAAGTCTAAATTACACTTTATTCTAAGTAAAAAACTATAAAATACTTAAATGGACTTTGTCTGAATACTGTCTTGCAAAATAACTAGTAAAATGTTCTGCACTGACTGTCAGCATGGGGAAGATAAAACAGTAGATATTAGAAATGAGTTAGTTAAACCATTATGTTTAATAATGTGATGTAAATAAATCCTGTGTTGAAGACGGAAATCAAAAATGAATGAAGGCAGATTTCTCGTGACACCTAAAGCAAGTGAGAGAGGCCTTGCCTTTGAGCCCTCAAATGACATTAAGTTTGACATGTTTCCCCCTTACACGCAACTTTTGTAAAGACAGTTGCTGTGTAAGAATCCTTGCTTGTAAAATACGCTTTAGAATGCTTAGTTTAAGCAAATTGGATGAACATGATCGCTTTCGCTCAACGAAAACCAGGCTGAATGCGCTGTACTGCGCGCGTTGCGTGCGTCTGTTCCCTAGCGACAATAACATTCACCTGATATCGCCTGTCCGCATTCCTCAAAGTTGTGTAGAATTAAATGTTTAGTGATGCTGTGACACAACGTGTGTGTTTTTTCATGCACCCCTTTGATGCAGCTTTCATTTTTGCCGCAGCACCGAAATTAGGCACCGAAATTCATATGCTGATGTAATACGGTTACATACCGGTTACCAAGGTACCGGTGCTATAATGGCACCAGGTTTCGGTACCCAACCCTACTTAGAATCCAACATGGAAATCATTTTTGTTCTTTAATGGCATTGATTGTTTTGAAATTGAAATGGCATCTACATGCCTGTGATTTTAATTCTGTAACAAATATGGCTTTTTGCGGTTAATCATGATTAATTACAAAAAGTATGATTAATTTGTTTATTTTTCAATTAATTGGCAGTCCTAATATATATATATATATATATATATATATATATATATATATATATATATATATATATATACTTATATATATACTTATATATGTATATATACTTATATATGTATATAAGTATGTAAAGGCAAATTGGTGTGTAAGAAAAAATTTAATATCATTTTGGTGAAGACTATCTTACCGAGAAAAGAATTAATGTGATTTGATAGTAGTTACCTAACATAATTGTTCTAACTCACTGCTTTTGTAAATGTGTAGAATAAACAAAATATTGACTACTTCCTACATTTTGAAATATGAAAAGTAACCATCAAGTGAGAACTTACAAGTCATGAGTATCTTCAGCTTCTTTCAGTCGCTCTGTCACTGTTTTGTAGTTGGTCTGAATAACGCGTAAACGATCATGATGTTTGGCATGGGCTTTCCGAAGATCCTCATTCTCCTGAGTCTGTAGTTTAAAGATGAGAAAACATACAGTACACACTTAATAAAAATTAAAATGTATATTTTATGCCTTGGATTACTTCATAAGTACCACATAGAAAAAGGGCACTGTAAAATCCACTTAACCCTAATCCACTTATATTAATAAATTTAATTTAATAATTACAATATATCATTTTGTCTAGGGGAGTAAAGACTTTCAAATGGTACATCCCTCACGATACTCTGAGATTCTTACATGGCAAACCAAGGTATTCCCATCCCACCATAGTCCACCAAAAAGAACATGCTAGCAGCCGTTCCATACCTTGGGTCCAATACATAGACTGTAAAGGGTATGGAGGCGAAGCGTCAGTGGAGCTACAAACGCCTGCTAGCATTTTGCTTAGATAGGCTTTTCTTTGGGAGAAACGCTTAACACTTCATTACCTTGTGTTCTGACCACATGCCTGGTTATACAATATATCAATAAAGCGTTTAGTCTTTTAAAAACACAGTTGTAATACATTGAGCCACTAAGCATTGTTCTCATGACATTTTTCTACCGAAGGAAAACATGAATAACTCCCAAATACTTCAAATATAGTATGTGTTAGTAAATGCAAGGTTATATATGAAATCCTGTCATAACAACATGACGTTTCAGATATTTTATAGCCTACAGCTAATCAATATGTCAGATTTTGTAGTGCTTTACATGTCTAAAAAATTATAAATGATAAATTATCTCAAGTAAAACAAATACATTTAAAGATTTGTATATAAGCATATAATTTCACCACCTAGTAAATGGAGGCAACTTGAACGGTTTGTGATCACAATAAAGTACACACAGTAGGCTTGGGCGGTATCCAAATTTTGATACCGTCAAACCGCCTCCATATTTTACCCCGGTATCCGGTATTACCGGCGTAATAAAAAAAATTATGACGTAAGGCTCAGACAGCGTCACCAAACTGTTGGCTTGAGCCTAAACCATTCAGAAACTGAATACTTTCTATGCGACCTTAGGCTCGCGGTCAAAAAGAGAGAGAGAGAGAGAGAGAGAGAGAGAGAGAGAGCCAAGCGACGCACAGCTCTCTCTCTCTCTCTCTCTCTCTCTCTTACACAAACACACACACACACACACACACATACACACACACCTCTCCCGCGATTTATTCAGAAATTTACTCCCACACCGTAAGAAATCTGGCCAGCTCCTGCGGAACAGCAGCAGGAATGCAGAGAGCTGTATTCGGGCCATAAAAATTAGGCACGATAGGTCCCGAGTCCGACAAGTACATTTTGATTGACAGCTTTATAAAGCCCTAACCCGTTTACAGCCCGACATTATTCAAATGCTCTTACAGCTCTAATGCATTTTTTAAAGAATGAGTCATTTATATGTTTTAACATCATTTATTCGTAGTAAACGTAGACTATATGCCACTTGGAAGTCGGAACAAAGAAATAAAATAAGTCCTCTGTAACATCCTAACATCTCAGCGCTCTGGTCTAGGTACATGCACCTTTAAATTGGCCAACACACCAATGAAAAGAAATCTTGCTTAACAAATCAAATTAAAATAAACTCTAAATGGTGACGGGTATTTTGGCAATAACGAAATTAAGATAAAGGCTCTGCAAGATGTTTCTCCACTTCTCTTCAAAATCTGGCATTAGGGCGTCGGTGAAGCTGAATATTAAAATAATAATGCCACCATTAGTCTGTATACTCTGTCTACATTATGATTATATGGTTTAATTAATATTTATTTATAATTTAAAAACCCTTTACTCACCAAGATTAGGCTACGTGTGTTTGTGGAGGAACATTATTAAATCCACTGGCTTTAGCGCAGTCTTGCACTCATGGTGCGTCCAGCAGCTGAACACCCTTTCCTGCGGCTACAGGTCGAGATGCAGAGTTCTGATCTGGCTGATTTTGCAAGTTTTGGGTAGGATTGTTTGTTCATCTTCTACCAGTCAGAAACATCCATTTAATTTTCCATGACAGTAGTCTCATTGTAGCGAGAGGCCTCGTCATTTTACCTGTCAGCTTGCGGTTTAGTGCTCTACCGTAATACGCAGTGTATGAGTGACCGCTGAAATACCTGGCTGGAATGCGCTCCTTCTGAGCTAGTGACTGGCTTGACCGCCGTCAAAATTCGCTTTTTTACTACTTCGTCATAGTTTTTTTCACCTTTGCAAGGATGGATTTTATTGCAGGGATTTGGATTTTTTCGGGTCTCGCCGGGTTCGGGCAAAGATCTTCAGCTCTAATGCAGACCTCTCGTTCATATTAACCACGTCTCCCTTCTGTTCAGTCGAAACTGCCAAACTGCAGGACACTTTGAAGTGCGACTCGTCACGTCACGTCACCTCTCCCTCTCTCCCCCTCCCTCTCCCTCTCTCTCTCTCCTCCACACTGTCCCGTGATGACAATCACACATACGTTTTTGTAGGCATTAAATAAAGGATATTTAATATTTTATGACGGTATAACGGTATTGAAACTGACACCGTTGCTATTTTTAGATCCCGCGGTATACCATAATACCGTATTACCGCCCAAGCCTAACACACAGCATGCCATATCATCTGATAATTGTAGGAAATAATTCCAAAAGACAACTGACTGTGTAAAGCCACACATTAAAAAATTCCAAATAGAACTTTTATATAAACATTTATTTGCTAAAAGGTTATAAACAAACTAATAAATAAAATGCAATACTCTTTTTCTGAACTAAGTTTGTCACTTATTTCTCTTTGTAATCTGGCATTTCAATATAGCATTCAGAGTATGTTCATGCTGACATTTTTGTTTTAATAAAATTAAATTCATAATTTATAAAATAAAAAAAAATAATAAAAAAAACATAATTTAAGATGTCAGCATTGCCACAAATTACAATCTTAAACAAAAGCTTAGAAGAAAAAAATTAAAGCTACAAACATGCATTTGCACAGCTAAAAAAAAAAATAGTAAAACTCCTAGAAGTCTGAAACAGAATCAGACTGTATTGGGAAGTCTCTACAGATTCCCGGTTCAAATTGAAAAACAAAACAAAACATGCCATAATGCATAATTGCAGATCATTCAACTTTTTTTTCGGGGGATGGGCAGTGTATCGTACAACAGCAAAATAAATGATGTATATCAGATTCATTCAAGCGTGGGCACACATTCAACTGCAAAAATACTTTCATGTGGCGTTTAATTCAATAAGTAAAGAAAATGGTTTATCTTTGCATATATCAAGTCATACAAATCAGAGGTTGCCTCTTATTTCATTATACTGAAATGATAATGTGTTTAAGTAATGCAGTACAAATACACTAGTATGTTATTAATCTGTTTTTCTTTCTGTGTAGCCCAGTGAGAACCCACACAAGCTGAATTAAATGCCATGTACTGTTTATTGTGTAACCCAAATACCAACAGTTTCCTAAAGTCAGGATTGAATTTTATTTTAAAAAGTATATGCTCTGCTGTTTCCAGCTACTCATTCAAAAAGATTTGAGACATGTTACCATAAAGTAAACACTGTCATAAGTAATCAACGTAAGATCATAAGCAATATTTTGGCATAAATGTGCTGTATTCATTGACTGAGAACTCTGAAAATAGAAACCAGCAAAACACGCAGCTCTAAAATGTATCAACAGGAAATCATCTGCATTAGTAATAAAACTATTTTACATACTCAAATAAAGACATCTTAATGACATCATAAATTAAGACATCATAAATTGTATATATACAGTTGAAGTCAGAATTATTAGCCCCCCTGTTTATTTTTCCCACATTTCTGTTACGGAGAGAAGATAATAAATCATTTCAAATAACTGATCTCTTTTAACGTTGCCAGGATGACAGTAAATAATATTTTACTAGATATTTTCCAAGACACTTTTTAAAGTGACATTTAAAGAGTTTACAAGGTTAATTAGGTTAATTAGGCAGCTTAGCTTAATTAGGCAAGTTATTGTATAACAATGGTTTGTTCTGTAGACTTGCAAAACAATTTATAGATTCAAGGGGTCAATATTTTGACCTTAAAATGGTTTTTAAAAAATTAAAAACTGCTACTATTCTATTCTATTTTATTATTTTTATTTTTTATTAAATTAAGACTTCAAATTCAACCTTTTTAATCATAATGTCACAAAGCAAGATGTAGTGTCTTAATTGCAAGATATAAAGTTAAAAATTTTATAGTATAGTACAATATTATGAAAATGCCCATCAATGCAGTGGATTGTATGCAACTACACAAATCTCATTGTTGGGTCAGTTTTTTCATAGTCAAGAAGAAAAAAAGGTTGGACTGTTGCCATGCTCATACCTCATACCCATGTGAATATTTCTATTTTTAAGTGTCCTTGTACTGACAATTTGCCTTTGGTGTGAATAGGCCTCACCTGGTGCAGTGGCTAAAAGAAAGAGCTGCAATAAAATAATGATTCTTCACAAACATACTTTTACTACACAAAAAAACCCATCAAACTCCAGTTCTTAATGACTGCTGCTTGTCTCACAACAATTCACACAGGATCCCCTGGCAAAATATACAGCAATGCAAGGATGACCATTCAACCATCATCTGATGTTTGATTTAAGCATTCCACATAATGCCTAGATTGTTTTGAAAGTGATTTGAGGAAAAAAAAGGTAAACCCTAAAATGCCCTGTTCTAAATGTGTACTATGCAAATAAGTTCCATATGGATAAAAAAGTGTAAGCCATCCCAGAATGACACCAACAGCCAATGACAACACTGCCTCTTCCACAACAGAAAGCGTGTGTTTTTAATAACAACAAATACATCTTTTACAGATACATAAAACCATAATAAGTCTCAAACTCACAACAAGGCTTTCCCCCTATTGTACACTCAAGAAAAAAATCCTCACACTAGTGGAAGATCTACAGGTAGTCATCTGACATATAAACAAAAACAGCATTAACAAAACATCAGAGACCTGTACATTAACGTATGCTGTCAGTATATTACA